TTACTTAACTGTAGCTTTTTTCCTTAAAGTGATAGTCAGAGTCTTCCGCCACTTGTTGACATTGGTAAAATGAATCAATTGTTGACAAGCCGAGGTCAAAAAAACAATCGCCAATTTAAATTGCAAAACATTCTTGCTTAATGGCACCAAAGAGAACCTAGATTAACTTGGATTCGCTCATTTGGTATTCCATTTAGTCAAGTTAATTTCATTTTGATTTTCCTTGAATTCCCTAGCATTCAGGAGTACCATGCCTCCCAATTTGTCACGTCCGCACGCACGCATGAATCCAACTTAATCGCTAATATTGCCACTGACAATGCTGATCCACCTTCCTCTTCTCCTCGAATCTAAGTGATTGTGTTTGCACATGTTATACCTTGTTTATTTCAGTAACTGTATGACTGGCGGTGACTTTGGTGCCGATCCTGGCCTGGGTCATCCCTCGAGCCAAGCCAAAGTCCGATCTCTGTCCCTCCTCCTTGAACACATGCATTTAGCCATATTTGATGCCTTCTTCCACCGAACGGAAGATTGCAGAATAAGCTTCGGCCAGGTTTCACACAACTCAATGCCTCATACCTTCTTTTAAGGTGCAGTCAAAGAGATGAAGTTCAAGTAAACTTATTCGTATGAGTTTCGCTGTCTGTGGAGGCGATTGGAACAAGTGGGCTTCAAAAAATAGCGTTTGTGAAAGACACATGTTTGTTTTTTTCTCACGTCAGTGGCACAGGCTTGGCTCCGCTTACATCATGTGTAAAATAAAATAAAGTGCATAAATGCACTAGAGATGGTTATTTAAAGCCATCACAGAGTTATTCAGGCACATATACTGTGATGCGTGTCTTCTAAAGTCCTTGAGAATGCATTTTTGCATGATGTGAAAAGCATACAGTATATTGCGACATTAGCAGCCAAGCATCCAGAGCGTCAAACATTCACAGTCTTGGACTTGAAAGGTACTTTCCATTCAAATCAAACTTAATATGCTAACTTACATAAGTCTGCCGTAGACTTTCTCAAAGTAAATGAGGACACCTGAAGATAAAATGCAAAAGAATAAACGCCTGTCGTCAAAACTTTTGTTAATAGGGCTCAACTTGTAAAGAGGCTGCTGCCGTCAGGCTTCACTTACATGTGACTGTCACCGCCACAAAGACTAGACTACGCACCATGGTGGACTCCGAGTGCGAATCCAAAGCCAACTGTTAGTGTTGACCGTAATTGGCAAATTTTCCGCTGCATATCCACCTGTGGGTGTGGATGTTTGTGGGTGCGTGGGCGCGTGTGCACACTGAAAAGATGACGCGTCGCGGAGGCGAGGTGGCCATCGTCTGATTGGTGGAAAACGTGCGGTCAATCGCCAATCTTGTCACTACGGCCAGCTGTTCTTGTCTTGTGAGGGTTTTTGATTTGCCACGCAGCAGAACTCGTGGCAAGCGGTGTCGAGATGCCTGATCTGAGCTTAATGTTTCCCGTTTCTGGACTATCCGGTTGTGATAACTTTTCCACGCGCTTGTTGAGAATGTGAACATACCATTGTTTTTGCTAAAGTAGTAGCGACATTGCATTTCCTTGGACCACACCAATGTATGTCCATTCTCTGGACACGGCATGAGACGTGGAAAAAGGTCTGCTTATAAGCATTTCTCTATCCTATATGCCTTCCACAGTGCACCACAAGAGTTGTTGGAAAGGGAACCCTATCGTAAAAATTTCCTCTCGGTGTAACTTTTAAAGTTCCATTGATGAGCTGGAGATTTGGAATTTTACGTAACGACATTGTGATCTCGCGACTTGTTCCAATGCCTTACGCAACGTGTTGAGCTCACGTGTAGTGTGCTTAGAATAATTGTCTTCCAGACAGTATGCAAGCGAGAACAAAACCAAGACAGCAGTTAGCACAAACGGTTGGCGGCACCTCAATTCGCACTTCAGAAAACCTTAAAAATTTAAATGATTTATCACATCAGTTGAAGTTATTTTAACCAAATTGTAACTTATCACGATGGTGTATGCCAATATATCAAATCATTACGGAATGTCCAACTCATATTTTATCTATTGGTTTGGCTTGCTCTCCCTTAATGCATCGACGCCAAGTGGAAGCTACAATTTTCACAGCATAAAATCATAAACTCGAAAAATCGAGTGGTACATAAATAAAAATTCATTTACTTTGTGCAAAACCTCGAATAATCTGATGACCAATTGAGGCGCCTTGAAGATATCTTTGTCCTATAATTAACTGTTGCCAATCCTGAGACCAAAATGCAATCAAACAACAGTTTAACACAGTACTTTGATGCATCATTAATTCATCTGCTAAACTACATATAGATTTGATCCGAAAAGCAGTATGGAGAGCGAAAGGCTCCGTTTCCTCAGATGATGGTACGGACATCTGCTTGTAGAACATGCAAACTCATTCCTGTGAAAGATTTTTCGATTTGCTATACGTTGGTCCTAGTTCACTATGGGACAGCAATTGCTCAGTGAAAAGTTTGAAGGAAGGTTCGATGACATGCATATTGTGAACAAGTTAAAGTTCCCAATGAACCCCGCATAACCAGATGCTTTGGTGCGGGTGGCTGGCCAGGCAAAAAAAGATTTTGCTTAAGTGTCCAGGTAGCTGCGGTGACCCTGCAAACGGGATGTGGACGCTAGGTGAAGGTTAAATTTCCTCTTTTATATAGAGGATAGCTAAAACAGTATTTACAAGTAAATTTATCCAAGATATCGCCACCAGTGTTCTAGAGAAAATTGAGGGCGCATTTCACATTTGTCCGATTTAAGCAATACTCTCATTTATACGGACACCAGAGGCAAGTAAAATATTATACTCTCTTAAATCTTTTTGCTATCGTACTGTCGATTTTGTTTCAAAGCAGTTTTAAAAGTTGTTAGGCTTAAACATGCCTGCATATGACCAGCTCCCGAATGCTATAGATGAGCTTTTGGATAAGTCCTGTATTTATGATCCACCTTTAAGCCTTTCCCAAGAGGACTTTCATCAAAGGAAACAGAATACTGTAATTTGCAAGGTATGAAGAGTTGGCTCAGCAATGTCAATTCAGGCGAATGGTTAAATCGGTGAAAATTAAAGTAAAACTTAAAAAGAAATTAGAGCTGTTCAGCGAAGAGCACAAAACCCTACACTCGGTGGTAAAGTACCTTCTCACTCTCCACTCTTCATGCATGTGTGATATTCTTTACCAAAATTATAAGTCGAGAGTTAGTAACTATGATACATGTGCGTGGCCGACCAGACATTCGCATCAGCAAGAAAGCATAGGTCTAGGTGACCACCTGAAGTCTGACAGTTACTTTAAGATTCTTCTGGCCCTTATGCGCGTGGGCTGGCCTTTTGGTCAAGCTCAGGTCTAACCCCTTTGTTCTCTTTGGAATACATGACTTCAGCTCCAGTTGCTGCCTTCTTCTACCCTGAGGGAAGTCTCGGGACGCTAAATACATTAAAACAAATGATCATGATTTATAATAGATATTCACATATATGCTTCATGTTACATTTGCTTGAAGGCAGTAACATACATCAGTCTCAAAAATATGCTCTTGCGTTTTAAAATGAGGGGCACTGTTAGAAAACACAGGGTCAAGTGTAATGCTTTGTTTATGCGACTATCTGATGTTTGGCGGTCACTTTAGGACTTGTCTGGGTCCTGTACACGTGGGCCGGCCTTCGGGCCACGCTCAGGCCCCATTTCTCCTATTGCTTTCGGAATACATGTA